GTGGGTTTTATCCACCCTGCTCAGCAATAAATGCTTATCAACTTATAGCTTATTCCTAACCGCAAATAAATCGCTTATCGGTGACCTTACCGTTGAAGATTTTTGGCCGACCTTGATATTGCGACGTTGAATGCTTTTGCGTCTTTTACCAAACTGTTATTAGTGGATTTAACTTTCGCCTCTGTCAGAGCTATATGCAGAAAATATCCGAACTGAGCTTTAAGAAGACTTTTGAATCAAACATCGAGCCAGTCTTAGCCCTGATTGTGATTTGCACCGGAGTCAAAAGTGGAAGTCGCGTTCGACGTAGTAATTGAGGAAATTTGGAGTTTGGCAACCATACTGAATATATCTCGAAACGATCTCAAAAAAATTGACTGACGAGCTCACGGCTTATTTGTAAAAAAAACGTACATTAAAAGGGATATAATTGGCCGAAATTTACTGTCCCCTATTTTTTATGGCACCTTTATCAAATTGCTGAGTGTAGTCTCGCCAGTTCCACAAATGCAATTAAAAGGTGGCATATAGGTGTTACCTCTTTGCTTCTAGGCAGCCATTTTTCAATATACACGTTTATTGAAAATTCAACTTCCTATATTCAAAAATTAAACATCTTGAAGACATCCAGCGGTAATTTCATTTTATCCCGGAAAAAGTACCGTGATCTGACGAAATAAGATTAATAGATAAGTAGTTCATACAAAGATTTGCTCCTTTAACTTATTAAAATTTGTTTTAGTGTCTGCCTATTTTGACTTTAAATTACATTTGCTTGGTCAATTTTTTCATAAACCCTCCTGTAGAACGCCGAAATCAATACTACGACCTCGAAGTTTCTGTCTCTAGTATTTTAATCACTGAGCAATTGTTTTTTTTACTGGACTCTAAGTTGAAACTAGGGGCCTGTCGGCCCTTCGAGTTTTGCTTTCAGCCAAAAAAATTACTTAAAAATGACAACTGATTTTTTTTACCAAACAGAACGACTATGAGCAGGATTTTAATTCCCTTGATTTGTCTGAAAAATCTGGCTAAATTTGGCGAGGTTAGTTTTTATTAATTGGTGTCCTTTTTAATTAATTTAGAGCCTAACCTGTTTTGAAATTGAAGTTTCAATTTGAAGGCGAAGTGATTAGCAAAGTCATTTAAGATCGAAAGTTGTTCGTTCGAAGTTTTGTGTTAACTTCGATTTTAACCGACGCTTTATTTGACTTACTTTGAATAACCGCTTTTCAATTCTTTGATTCTTTTTTATTTTTTTTATGGTGTCTTATGTCGTGGGTGACTTTTGAACGATATATCTTTTTGGACTAGTATCGTTTTGGCTGGGATCTTCCAGTTTGAGATCCTAAAGTAGGACTTTTTGTCGTGTAACCGAATTTTTGTTCGTAAAATGGTGAAGGAGAAGGCTGCTAGGTAAGTAATACTGCTAGACATTAAGACGACAAATGTGAGTTAAAACATCATGTTTAATGAACTGTTCGAATTTAAGCGAATTATACTTCTCAGATATACAACTGCACTTTTCGCGTGTAGCGTCGTCTTTAAGTCCACGTGGATGTCTGAACAGTTGTCCTTTTATTTGCCGGACGCTGGGGGAAGTTTTACGCAGTAACGAAAAATAAGATGAGTTTGTAACGAAAAAAAAAACGATTTGAGAATTCTAGGTTTGTTATTCTCAAGGGACCACTGTATCATAAAAGTACCGTATTTTCGTGTGGCTTATATGGTAGCTGGCTTATACTTCGGATGGTATATGTATCACCAACATTCCAGCGCATCTATCTCAATTGCTTTGGCCCAGAGATCTCTTTTTCCTTTTCCCCCACCTGTGAATTTGTTAAAGTAAAATGATCGTTTAAAGTGTCTGACCGTTATGAAAATTGGCAAGCGGGCTATTTAGGTCGTGGCAAACATATTTGGTCTCCATGCTTAACCCTGTAGAACCATATTGGATGAATGACGGGTCTGATGCAGAGAGTGAAATTAATAGGAATTTATAAGAAGAAAACAACAAAGAAAACAGATGTTATTAACAATCGTCAACCTTATGGTATCTACCAAAGGATCAACCGTGCTATTTCTCTACCAAAACGATTTTGGGGGGAGAAAGTAGGAATTTTTTACAATGAAACTTTGAAGAGAATGTTATATCTACTAAGGATGAATGCCGAAACAAATTGAAAAGTCGATTTCGCTAATTTTATATATAGTTCAAAATAGTTACATTTTGTGCGGTTGTATGAAATGAATTTTTAGTATTAATACATGATTGGGGGAAATTTTACGGTAGGTCATTCAGGAGAAGGGGGGATTGTACGGTTGATACTCAGTAAAGAATTGCCACCCCTATGAACGGGGCAGTACAACGGTGCCGAAAATGAAAACTTTGTTCAACAGTGCCGAAAATATGAACAAAATTCAATATATTAAGTGCGGCAATCAAAAACTAAACGGCGAACCTTTATAATCTTAAGGGTGGAATCCCTCATGCGCGAAGGTCCGAATGCGCGAAAATATAAATCAGCCAATCAGATTTCAGTAATCTAAAACTTGGAAACAAAGTAAACATTTCCAGGGACTGGAGTATTGAGATTGGCCGAATATAAAAACGGCAGAAATATGCAAAACTTTAATATTGTCATTGACAGCCGCAAAATTGGGACAAGTTTTACATTTCAAGGGTTTCGTAATGAAGGAAGCAAACTGTTTCTTCGTTTACTTTTTTTTAATTGAATGGCAACTGCTTCTTTTTAAAAATTGACTTTCGGTTAATTTTGTTTTCGGTTTTTCGCACACAAGTTTTTTCGCGCATTCGGTCCTTCGCGCATGAGAATAGCTGCCATCTTAAGTGACACTTAAAGATTTTGAGCAAGAAAATTTGCAGTTTAGACGTTTTGGCCCCAAGATAATTGTTTAATTTGCAGTTGCAGACATTTTGGCGCGTGATTTTCTTTGATAATTAGGGTCAGTAATTTCCCGCTCTTTAGAAAATGCGTCAAAGTTATTCTGAAATTTTCCCGCCTTTTCCGGCACTGTTGTACTTCGGCGCTGTTGAACGCCCCCCTATAAACAAAATCAGTGATTTAGCACTATCCTATTTATAATCCAATATTTGCTTCATTCTGATTGGTCGAAAATCTACGCAATCTGCTTAACAATTATCCTTTTACTTGAAAGGGCTAATTTTTGAGTAGACCCAAGCAATAAAGCAGAAACAAGGCCGCAATTCAAAGATAAATATTAGCCGAATATTGTATTTCTATTTATTACAGCGATTACTCTCATTTTCGTTCGGTTTGAGCGAAAGCAAGTTGTGAAACATTTAAACTGTTATACGTTCCTCGTTCAATTACCCGCCAAAATGCCTTCTTTTTGTTTCTTTTGCTCTTTATTTAAGTTAAGTGTCTAGATTAGACACGTCTGCTAGTCATTCACACATCTTGTACACCATAAAAGTGATACTCATGCGAGATGGGTTAAAAGGAAAAAGAGCCGAAGTTAGTTATTGCTCGTAGCTTTTTCCGTTGCCTTCACTTTCAAATCGTCTTTTTTATAGTTTTTTTTTCATGTTATTATGGCTAAATGCATGATGTTACTATGTAAAGTACAAGGAACAATAAGCTAGACTATTTGAATGAATTAGAAAATATGCATTCGGGTATTTTTTTGTAGAAAAAGTTTCAGTCAATAAAAACTATCATTGTTCAACACGAACTATATTCAATACAGAACTTGCATCGGTATGAATTTTAGAAGCTTTCAAGCAAATTAGTACGTGGTGGCTAAATAGGAAATGCAATACAACCTTTTCTGATCAAGGAGAATTTGGATAAACTGGCTAAGAGAAGGTCTTGCTCACAAGAATTAATCATGAGAAAAAAACACTTTGACTAATGATCAATCTTTAAAGTTGCGGATAAGAACTATCATGAGACAATCAATTTTCGTTTTGGAAACTATCCGGATTTATCAATTATCTTTCAAAGAGTTTTTTGGACAATTTTCATCATATTTTAACTATTATAATCTGGGTTGTAGGGACCTCTTCTGATAAACTTTGTAGAAAATAGCTTGTAATATTAGGCTTTTTTTGTAGAGTTGTTTTCCAGAGGCATGGGCCAGTTTCTTTTTATAGAAAACTTAACAAATTACCTAAAAAACTTGTTTTTGTCGTAGCAATGAGATTTGCTTCATAACTGTTTTGCTTTTTGAGGCATACCTCGGCAGTTTTCATTTGAGTTCTGTAGGATGCCCTCTCAAACCTATAATAATCATAATTTACTGAACTCAATGTTGTGTATATAATTGGTTTGAGTTATTATGATTTATACATCTTTTAAGGTAGGGGGTGTGGAAAAGAGCCTTGCTCTCTTTTCAACGGTTTAAGGGCTCTTTTCTTCACCTTTGAGTTTCAATTTCAAACTACTTTTTATACTATGTCATAGTGCAATGAAACTTGGCAGGGTGAAGAAACAAACAATTAGGAAAAGATTTTTTCTTCATAGCTTACATCGTAACTTTACGCGTTTAGCTGTAATTACACAGAAAACAACAATCAAAGTAGAAAATTTGGAAGGTGGGGGGTGTGGAAAACAAGCCAAATTGTTCCAATCTCGAATTTCCGAAAAAATGTTGTTAAATATAACGTTGTCAATTCTGCCTTGTGAACAACGTAACTAACATTTGCATGTAAAATTGTTATGAAAATGAAAAGGTTGTGATGTGTAGGTAATTTGAAAAGAGACTTTTTCAACGCAACCCCTGTTTTCCCAAGGTTATGTAAAAAGACCGAATGTATTTAAGCCTACGTCATTTTAGGACAGGGTCTAAGCGAAAATAAATGGGGAGCATCATTAATACACTAAGTTATGGGATGCATTAGGAACGGTTTGTAGAATTTGAAACTCGTTAGATCATTCAAGTGAAATTTAAGCCTTGCACGTTCCAGTTAAATGTTCAAATGCCAAGAAGTCTTGCTAAGTTTATTTGAATTGCAGGGTGGCGATGACGCGACCAGTGCCTTCTGGCAGGAGATTTCATCCAGTCTCAATCTGTATGCCAGTCACTATGACTTCATCAAACGCACAGCGGAACTGCATGGTGCCCACTGGTGATTTCCTATCATGAAAAAAGGCACCAGCGAATGAAGATGAAAACCCGACTTAAAGATTTATCATTTCAACACAATTATTTCGTCTCAGTTATCAGAACTGATAGATAGTCTCCTTTCTAAACTGTGGTACTTGGGTCTTTTCTGTTATACGGTACAAAAATAATATTTTTCTTATCTTGAAATCTGGATCATAATGGTCGAATCGGATTGGTTGAAATTATTTCCAGCTACAGTTTGTCTGGATTCTCAATAAAAACAGTAGCTCAACTAACAAATTGAAAAATTTGGGCCGTATAACAGAAAAAAACCCTGGTACTTTAACCTTTAGCATTGCAAATAGTCCCAAAATTGACACACCGAAACTAAATGTCTCGCTCTTTTCTATCTTTTCTGAAATTATTGATGATTTATATGGTCCTGGTCAATCTAAAATTAATATTGATTAAAACTTACCTTTCTTCTGTTTTGCATAATGAATTCACTGATCTTTTTTTTTCCAATGAGAAAAGCGAAAACGGGGAAAGATTCCTTCCAATTTGTTTTGTTAGGTCGATTTTTTTTCCTTTGCGTTGTTTCAAAGTTTCATATATTGAGTCCTCTCATTGTGTCATTGAGCGCAGTGAAGACATTTATATAGGTCAAGTTGATTTTTTTTGTTTCTTTTTCCAGGAAAAATGTTTAAGTTCGTTCACACCAAATTTGATCTTTTGCGGTTTGATTTCTTTTTGATTTGAAGTTTATTTCATTTTAAGTTTCTATAAGAAAGGCAACTTGCGCACTCCAATGTCGAATTTGGAATCGGCGCGAAAAATGACTTCTAATTTCGAAAGTGGATTTTTATTAATTATTACATAAATTGTCATCTTCACTAAATATAGATAAAAATTTTTATAGCGGTTTCTGAAAAGGCCGCTATATCAGATCTGAAAATTTTAATAGTAAAAAAATCCAGGTGAACTTTATCTGATTTTCAGAAGCAGTTATGGTTTGTGTTGACTTCACAGCAGTCGTAAAAAACGGCTTTGCAGGTGACATAGACGATGAAATACTCAGTTACATCGTAAACGTGCTCTCTTCGAGCCAAGAAGATTTCTCCACGGGTGAAGATGTATTCGAAGCCATTGGCGATCTCCTCATGGAATGTGATTCAAACGAGGTCAAGGTCAAGAAATTCTGCGAATCGCTCTTCAAACAGATGAAAAAAGACCCCGAAAATACACGCAGTAATAATGTAAAATTACTAGATGCACCAGTTAGCATAGGTGAATCTACAACTGATAATACATTTGAAAGCGCCAATAGTGCGAGTTTCTGGGCTGCGAAGCCCCACGAGAACACAATGATTGATTTTGAAGCTAATGAAGCTTTGGCTAATTCGAAGAAAGATCGCAAAAAAGAAGTCACAAATGATACTTCTAAACCTCCGCCTGAAGCAGTTGCTAGTCAGTCAATTTCAAAGAAGGATCTCAAATCAGAAAACGATGGTAGAAACCTGACAAAAGATATTCACATTGAAGATTTCGATCTATCTTTCGGAGAAAATATACTCTTCATAAACACTTCTTTGCATCTAAATTACGGCAGAAGATATGGGTTTGTAGGAAGGAATGGTATAGGAAAATCCACGTTATTAAAAGCAATCGCAAATAAATCTCTAATGATACCATCTCATATAAGTGTGCTCATTGTTGAACAAGAAGTGCACGGTGATGATACACTTATTATCGACAGTGTGTTAGAAAGTGATAAAGTTTTGACCGATTTGAGAAAGAAAGAGAAAAAATACACTGAAGATGGCAACTCAACTGCCCTAGCTGAAGTTTTCAACCAATTGGAACTAATGGACGCCGATTCGGCTCCTTCGCGTGCCGCCGAGATCCTCGCGGGTTTGGGTTTCACTCCTCAAGACCAGAAAAGAACGACCAAAGAGTTTTCAGGAGGTTGGAGAATGAGAGTTGCTCTGGCGCGTGCTCTGTTTATGAAACCAGACTTGCTGTTACTTGACGAACCGACAAACATGTTGGATCTGGCCGCCATTATTTGGCTGGAGGAGTACCTTCAAAAATGGGCATCGACTCTATTCTTCGTTTCCCATGACCGAAGATTTTTGTCTCAAGTTGCGTCAGACATAGTTTATGCTTATAATAGAGAACTAGAGCTGTACAAGGGAAACTTTGATCAGTTTGAGTCAACGAAGAGTGAAAGAATGAAGAATCAACAGCGACAGTACGAGGCGCAGCAGCAGTACAGAGAACATATCCAGACATTTATAGACCGGTTCAGGTATAATGCTAATAGGGCGTCACAAGTGCAAAGTAAACTGAAGTTACTCGAGAAGTTACCAGAGCTGAAAGCAGTTGACGAAGAAGCAGAAGTCGTGATCAGATTCGATGGGTGTGAGAAGCTTCCAGCGCCCATTTTGTACCTAAGTGAAGTTTCGTTTTGGTACAATAAAGACAATCCAAACTTCGTTAACGTCGATGTAAATGCCAACTTAGAATCCAGAATAGCATTTGTAGGCAGAAATGGAGCGGGTAAAACAACGCTTTTGAAATTACTAACCGGCGATTTGAATCCTTCGAAGGGTTTCAGACATGCCCATAAGAATTTAAAAATTGCATACTTCACACAACATCACGTAGACCAACTGGAACTAAACGTATGTCCGATGGAATTGATTGCTAAGAGGTATCCGGGCAAAAAGGAAGAGTTCTATAGATCGTGCCTGGGAAAGTTTGGCGTCAGTGGGAACCTTGCTCTGAGACAGCTGAACACGTTATCAGGAGGTCAAAAAAGTAGAGTCGCTTTCGTTCTGCTCAACATGCAAGCGCCGCACTTTCTTATCCTGGACGAACCGACAAATCATTTGGACATGGAGACAATTGAGGCTCTTGCAGATGCGATCAATAATTACTCGGGTGGTGTGATTGTAGTGTCTCACGACGAGTACCTAATCAAGAAGACATGCAAAGAAGTGTGGCTCTGTAAAGACAAAGGTGTCCAGATTCTAGAAGGAGGAATAACCGAGTACAGGAAACTGTTAGAAGCTGAACTGATATAAATTAAAGATCTGAATACTCAGAAGCTTCTAATTGAATTGAAATCTTGAGCATGTCAGGTTTTTACTAGACCTCTGTAGGTGTCTACAGCCGCAGATCTAGGAATTTCTCGAGGGGGGGGGGGCGGATTTTCAAAAAAAAAAATTGAAATTTTTGTCGACTTTTTTTTAGGTCCATCAAATTGATTTTCTGAGCTCTCCCGGATCACTATAAAGACCCTAATTTGACAAAATAGCCAAAATTTGTTTAAAAAATACTTAAAATTTGTAAAAAAAAAAAAGTCAAAAAAGGCGTTTTATGCACTTTTTGAAAAATTTCGTCCAAAAAATTGCGTGTTTTCGGCACGCGCTTCCCCTCAAAATAAGTGTAAACTGTCGCCAAAGGCGCCTTTAGAAAAAAAATTAAGGTCAGTCAGCCGAAAATGGTTATCTCAAATAGTACAAAGGGTCGGCAGGGGGTCAAATCCCTGAGGAGGTCGGCGTCCGCCCCCCTAAATCCGCTAATGGGTGTCTGTCTACTATGTATTTTTGATGTATTATTGATCGATGTGAGTTTTCTCATATCCAGGTTGTGTAATTTTAGTTAATTTTTTTCAAGGTTTTCTTATTTTTAACGCTTTTTTTCTATACAAAAATCAAAATCATTGATTAAAAACAAATTTCGATTGTTTTGCACTCTTTTATGGGGATTTTACCTTTCGAGAACTTTGTTGGGTTGCGTAAAAGGCTTTTTCTGAATTAATTTTTTAATCATTTAATTTGGTAGTTCTAGCGTAATTTTGAATTCACTAAAAAGTCAATTTGACCTTTTTTAGTGTAAAGTTTTGGTTTCGAATTTTGCAAAACAAAACGCTCAATGACAATTATGGTGACATTTTTTTGTTCTCTTCTCTTTTTGTATAATCATATCTCAGTTGAAAAATAAATCCGTGTTCATTTTCAAATTTGGTTTGTTTCGTCCGGATAAATCAAATTAGCACTAGTCGTGATAAAGTGCTGATTTAAATTATCCGGACAAAACTCATAAAACTTAGAATTTAAAATGCTTTTTTTGATATTGGGTTGATTTTACTTCAGTGAAAAACGATGGTGACAAAACTTGCTGAAAAATTGCCTAGATTTTCTATGTTGTAACTTGTTTCGCAAAATTCGGGCTCAGCTTTACTCCAAAAAGGGATCTTTTTTGACTTTTTTGATCTACCAAAAGTTACACTGAAACTACTGGAGCAAATACTGACAAAAACTATATCAACATGTTTTTTTTGTGAGCCTCTAACATAGCCCAAAATAATTAAGAACGGTATAAACTCAGAAATATTTCAACAAAGCGTTAAAAAAAATAATTTTTCAAAAAAAATTTTAGATGGGAAAAAAAGACATTTTTTGGCGATCAAACAAAAATAGTTTGAGAATTGTACCCTCTTTAACTTTGTTGGGTTAAACAAGAAGCTCTTTTGAATACATTTTTTGTTATTAATTGACCCAGTTTTTACAGCGTAATTTTTGATTGACCGAAAAAGTCAAAAATGATCCTTTTTTGTGGTAAAAATTTGTGCCCGAATTTTGCACAACAAATATTATTTTAGGTTTTAAGCAAATTTTGTCGTCATCATTTTGAGCCTAAAGTCAACCCAATTTGAAAAATTGCGTTTTAAATTTCAAGTATATTGCGTGTTGTCCGGATAATTTAAATCAGCATTGCTTAGGGCGTGATGATTTTTTTGTTGTGTTTTTTGAGGGAAAAGCCTTAAATATCGTTCGCGCCAAGTTAAGTTGTTTGAGGTTCGATTCATCCTCAATCGCTAAAAGGAAGGCTGATTGCGCTCTCCAGTTACGAAAGCAAAATTGACGCGAAAAAACGTAAATGACTTCTTTTTTCGAAAGGGATTCAGATTTCGCAACGGGTTAAAAATTTTACTATTAGATCCAGTTATTTCATATTGATTGCATTTTATCAAAAACTATCAATCGTGATTGTTTTTGCAATTTAAAGTGTTGTAATTATTTTTTTTTATTTCCAAGATTGATGTTTTTCCAAAACATTCAAAGATTGATGTTGTCATTTTGTGGTTTCCTTGTATTCCTTTTCTAATTGTCTGATGGTTTACCCTCGTGATAAGCAAGAGTTTTTCAGCTAAGTATTACAAACTTTTCCGGAAAAAACTTTGGTCAAAGTATGATTGAAATTGGTGGTCGCGTTCTTTTGTCAAACAACAGTGTTATTTTGAGCATGTCTGCATTCTGAATGATCGTTGTTTTCGAAATTTTTTTTTTTTTGTTGGCTGTTTTTTTTCTCCGATTTCAGTTTTTTATTCAGTGGCTCAGGTCTGTACGGCAATCCTTTTTACTACTTGGACGTTCGAGTACTGAGGGCTGAATCCCGTAGTGGTCTCTTGTTTTTCTTAATTTTATTTTTTTTCCTTTATCTCTTTTTTGACCCTTTTAAAGATGATAGTGAGCTTTTTGGCAAGTGTTTTTTGAAGTGCAGCTTCGCCTCTGTCTAAATTGTGTCGTACTTTCATAAAAATAACAAGCTATTGCTGCTAGCGCGAAGTAGCGCCATCTGAAAACAATGCTAGTTATTTGAATCCGATTCAATTTAAAGTATGTTGTAATCTATGTAAAAAGACGCAATTATATATAGAAGATACAACATCGATTTTATTCTATCGATTAATAATTTTAAAAAATCTTGGCCCTATTTAAACCTGCATGGCTGGAATATCAAGCTTTGCTTTAAATACAAACGATAGATTGAGCTTAGTTTACTTTCTTTAAAACTTTTTTCATTGCACCCTATTTTGTTCCAATTGGGATCATTTTCTTCAACTCTGAACCAAGTCTGAATCTATGAAATCTCTATATTAGAAGATGACAGATGGTTGACTTACACTTTGCATGAAACGCCACTGAATTTTGATTTAGTTTTTAAAAAGTGATTTTTCACATAGACAGTTTTTTTGACTGGTGAGTTTAAGCAACAAAGCATTATTTCGAGACAGGTTAATATACAACATTTTGTAACCTAGTCTCTTTTCTTACTTGTAATAGATTCATGTGCATAGATTGCAGTGCCTTACATTTGCCAACCAATATAGTACACAAATTACCTGAAATTTCTTATTCAGATCGACAAGGTTCTAGATAACGTTGTAAGCCGTAAATCATGTTTCAGAAATGGAATTTCAAAAACTCACAATTTAACATGACCTTGTCTTGAGGCGACTTTCGGTACCTCGCATATAACTTGTCTTTTCGCAGTTATTTTACGGTCTCATTACCAAATCCATTTCAAGGTTACTGAATTGGCCTATACTGAGTGCTACGCTGTGCGTGGTCACTCTGTTGTTTTGCTACAACGTTTGTTAGATGTTTATTTGTTCCGTTCTATCCACTTTTTTCCTCTTGGTCAAAGATTGACTAACAAATGTTTTTATTGGAACTAAGTGTCTAACAACTAATCTATCAATTCACTTTTACGAAACAACCAAGTTTTGACGCACTATTTCTCGGCAAATGTCATGGCGCAGCCAGCAGTTCCTGTGAATGAAGACAGGACTGACCTGTTGGGTATTCCTCCCTTTTGGGCGAAACCTTCCGTCAATCTGCCGTTCCTAAGGGAACCTTGGATAGGTCAATTCTTCCTCGCAGTGGGTCTGAAAGACAACATCAATCCTCAGGAGCTTTTAGTGGAGTCCGCGGAGGTTATCGATGATCCTCCTCCGAAACCAGAGGCAGTGGGTCCTGCAGAAGACGCTGGAGACGCGAATGCTCGGGTCCTCCGAGATCAAGCGGCGGTTCGTAGAATAACTGAATTAAATGTCGAACGCAGAAGAAAAGGTCCTAGAATTAGTCAGAACAGGTTCTGTCACGAAGCTGAAGCTCGTTTGAAGTCACGCTTGTTTTTTGCTTTAGGAAACGAGGGAAAGATACGCTTTGCAGACTCTTATCCCCATACGGATATTAGTGTTACTCCATTTCGAGTCTTTCATAATGCCTGCGATACGCTGTTCAAGGTGAAACGTGATTACACGGTTGAGCGTATTAAACTGTACAACTCCATATTCATGTTGGACAATGATACTTTTCTTCATTCTACGCTCGATTAAGCGCTCAGATTGCTCTGTGGAATTGGCCCAATGCTCAAGAGAAAAAAATTTTGAAAGACTTCTTCATTGGCCGAATTCGTGATGTGGATGTCCAACAACAACTTATTAAGGCAAAAGCGGATTTGGATGATACTTTTAAACTTGCACTGGAGTGTGAGAAGGGACCCAGTACGTCCGCTCAATTCCCAAAACTACTTCCACATAATCCGTTTTCTAGTACTATAAAGGTTAAACAAGAACCTACTTTCTCAATCCAGACGTCTCGAGGAAAACGTAATTCTCCTCAGAATCAAACCAATCGACAAACCGCGCAGAGCAACAAAGGTAACAAATCGTGCTATTTCTATGGTAATCCTTTTAGTCCGGATCATAGAAAGTCGTGTCCAGGTTACGTGTAGTCTTTGCAAGAAACCTGGTCACTTTACCAAGTGTTGTAATTCATCAAAACGACGGGTGAATATGGTTCACGAAAATGAGGAGGCGTCAGACCCCTCCATCGACTGCAACTTTATAGATGCTGATTTTGATAGCAAACCTGAGTATGGTGTTCTGCAAATAGAAAGTGCGGTCAGGATAAATAGTATCGAGCTTCTAAAATCAAACAAAGGGAAACCAAGGAGCTTCAGCATTCAGTTGCGTACTGGGCAAAGTTTCTTCTACTCGACTGTCGACACGTGAAGTCCGGTCTCGTTCCTTAACAAACGCATTTGTGATTTTTTACTTCAGCGTAATCCGTCCATCCAATTCCGGGACATCACACGATACCCTATAGATATTTTGTATGTGGATTACTAAAAAAACCGATTCGCCTTCTTGGATCAATTGGCATTCCGATCTCTTTTAGTGGCTGGAAAGTGGAAGAGGCTAATTTCCTTGTCTCCGAGAATAGAACCCGTAACCTTCTGGGCTTAGACTTGCAAGATCATTTAGGTGTGGTGACTACTCAAC